ACTGTGGGAGAGGATTGAACACGGATCCACCACAGGGAGTGTAAACCTACAAATATGAGTCAGAAAAGCCCAGTGCTGCTGACAGAGATATGTAATCATATTTCTTTCTCTCTGTTATTTTATGTAACTGTTATTTAGGATATATAAAAATGACAGATACGTCGAAAATCGTTAAGTCTTACACCAGGTTTTCTTGTTAGCATCACTGTTACATTTTGCTGCAGCAACTTCTGTCAGACCATGAGCTCTTCTACCAGGTCTCCCTGGTGGGAGGTCCCTGCCCCTCCTCTGGCAGGCGCTGCCATGGACAGGGTTTCACCCTCTGCTGCTGCTCTGTGCCTCGGAGCCCAGCTGGTATTTTCTTGCTCACTTACGTGGTAGTTGTTCCTATTGCACAATGAGGGCACAGCACGTCCATGCACTGCTGGAATCTCTTCCTGTGGAACCTGGGGAGGGGAGAAGCTGGTGCTGGAGGGAGGCTTTGCTGGAGCCCTGCCTTCCCCTCAGCCTCCAGCCCAACCAACCCTCCAACCCCTTGAGCCTTAAACCAAAATTCTTCTTGTGTTTTGTGTTTGGTTTGTTGTTTTTTTTTCCAGCTGTAACTACTTTGCTTAAAATTTATTAAAGCTTCTCTGTGGTTTTACCTTTTTAAACTTTCATCAGCCCTTTAAGCTTGTGTCCATCTGTATTTATCCCTTGCCTTTGCTGCCCACTCAGGACTTTTGCATCTCTCTGACCCAGCAGCTGCACGGGGCAGGGCTGCATGGCTAGTGATGGGCAACGATTTTCTGTAACAGCCTCAGTCATCACTATTAAACTCCTGAATGAAAACATTTTTCTCCATGGCCAGTGTTTGTCTGTGCTATGGCTCCCCTGGCAGCAGCCACCTGCTGCTGGGGCACTGGGAGGTCCCTGCTGCACCAGGGGTCCTCATGGCCTGGCAAGGAGCCTGTCGTGGCTCTGGGAGGGCACCTGGTGGCTGCTGGGATTGAGTAGGGATTTATTATAGAGTCACAGGCTGGTTTGGCCTGGACCTTAAAGTTCATGCAGTCCCACCCCCTGCATGGGCAGGGACACCTCCCACCAGCCCAGGCTGCTCCAAGCCCCATCCAACCTGCCCTTCAACACTGCCAGGGATGGGGCAGCCACAGCTTCCCTGGGCAACCTGGGCCAGGCTCTCACCACCCTCACAGCACAGAATTTCTCCCTCCCATCTCATCTCCATCTCCCCTCTTCCAGCTGGAAACCCTTCCCCATCATCCCACCCCTCCCTGCCCTTGTCCCAAGCCCCTCCCCAGCTTTCCTGGAGCCCCTTCAGGCCCTGGAAGCTGCTCTCAGGTCTCCCTGGAGCCTTCTCTTCTCCAGACTGAACACCCCAACTCTCTCAGCCTGTCTTCATCCCCCTCAGTAGTTTAAGAAGGTCAGAGCCCCTGGTCCCTGCATGGGAGGGGAGTGAGCTGGAAGCCCCCAGTGCTGTTCCTGACACCCCAGAACAGGGTGTCAGCAGCAGGTTTGCAATTTTCGTGGCAAAACAAAAGGAAGCAAAGGAAGCTGTAAGGAGCTGCAGGAGGCTCTGGTGAGGTGGTCAGTGCTGTGGAATGTCTTGTCACAGGGGGAGGAACCATCACCCAACCTGTTTCAGGAGTTTTCCAAATTCTTGGGGTGCTGCCTGGGAGGAAAAACCGTGTCATTTTCTGTGTGTTTATTCTAACCCCTCCCAAACACCTGCTCAGCAGCCCTGGCTGGAAGAGGATGTTGTTACCCTCCAGCCTCCCTCCTCCTGGCTGATCTTACACGTCCCGGCTGTGCTGGGCAGCTCAGGTGCTGGGGAGGTTCCTCACCCAACAAACAGCCTGTGCTGGGGAGCTGTTGGCAGGATTGGACTGAAGCTTGGGAGCACTTGTTAACGTAACACGCGAGGCGGGTGATGTGTGTTCAGATCAATATGGTATTAGTTCTGATTGCTATAAAATATTTAAAGCAGCTGCCAAGCCCCGTGGCTCCAGCAGCACAGGAATTGCAGCTTGACTGGCAGCAACAAGAGCAACTCAAAATGTTGTCTTAAAAACAGCTCTTTGCAGGCTACGTGGAAAAAAAAACACAAACGTTTTAAAAATATTTGAAATATTGGAGGCACAAATGTCTCTTTGCACGTGTTTTTCTCCTCCCTTTCCAAAGCAAACCTTGGCAGGCAGCAGTGGGTAGTTCAGTGTGTAATTGCATCTGGAGCTGCTCAGTCTTGCACACCAGTGGGAGCAGGAGGGGCTGAGGGGCTTTTGGCTCAGCACGTTCCTCATCAGAGCACCAGGAATGAGCCTTTGTTGTTCCTCATGGTGCTAAAAACAAGCAAATAACCCCACGATGAGAAATCCAAGGGAACGGTGACTCTGAGCCCTTTGCTTTGGGTCTTCAGGCCAGTGTGAGCCAGGGATTTCCTACAGCACAATATTGATTTTATTCTTAACCAACAGAAGATGAAAGGGAGATCTGAGAGAACGTGCAGAAGTTTTCCAGTCTTTCCCATACAAAACTCTGGGAAGTATTTTCCATGTCTTCATGGGACAGCAAAGCCTGGGACTCCCAGCTTCCCTGGGAATGTGGTGCCTGGGGCACCTGCCTGAATGAAAAGGCATCATGTTCTTCTGCATTCCCACTATTATTATTGTTATTATTATTATCCACGAGCTTTGCTGTGCCCTGAGTAGCTGCTGCTGCTGGAGCACAGGCAAAAGGCAATGAGTTCACAACCTTTCATGTGATTGGTTTAAAGTTTTAAAAACAACTTTATTTTTAGATTATTAGTTTTGATAGTAGCTTAAATATTTTGTTTTGTTATTCTTAATTTTAAAATAACTTTTTAATTATTTTGTAAGTGTCTTGGCTGCACACACTGCTTTGTTTCCCAGGAAGGAGCTTTCTTGGTCCTTGGTATTTTTAGAGAGGAATGAAAAAATGTGCTGCTTTTTTTTTTCCCCATGCAGATGGTAGGGAATTCATGCTCATGGGTTCCACCTTTATCAGCCACCTGGAATGTCAGTGTTACCTGTTGAAAGTCAGTGGCTTTCTGGCTTGGTTTGGTGTAACCCCTGGGAAGAGGGAGCTGTTGGCTGGTGGGATGTGGCTGCCTGGGGGGTGAGGAGGCAGCAGGTCTGTGTGTAATCCCACCCAAAACATTCTCCTGAGGTTTTGTCAAAGATGGAGGTTTGTGGGCAGTGCCCATGTGCCCTGGCCCCGGGGCTCAGGGGAATGGGGTTGTCCCCAGCAGGGCATCTTCCCTGGCACCTTTCCTCTCTCAAACCTTTCTGTAGGATTTTCCCTTCCAGGTGGAGCTGGGGTGACTCTGGTCCTACAGACCTTGTGGTGACCGGGGCAGAATTCTCTCACTTCACTTTTAAAGGTCTGGGCTAGAGAAAATTCAGAGCACAGGCCCAGTGAGGGGTGGTTGCACCTTGGGAGGAGGGCAGCTTTTGGGATGGAGGTGTGTTTTGGTATTACAATGAGATGATAATGAGCCAAGTTCACCTGAAGGACAGTATTTTAACAGATGGTTGGCCCTGGGTGTCAGATATGCAGCTGATATGTTCCACAGGACCTTTGAACCCCATTGTTGCCACAGAGCACAGCCATGGGGTCTGCACTCAGCTCCACCCTTCGTGCCTTTTCTCCTGGAGCCAGGACACCAAATTCCCCTGGTGTTGCCACCATCTGGGCCTGCCTGGGCAGCTGCACAAGAGCTGCTTCAACGCTCTACCCTTCCTTACAACGTGAACATCAGTTTAATTCCCAGGTCACTTCCAGCAATTATGCCACAGGGCTGGGACAGCTGGATCCCTGCAGATGTCCTGCACATCTGGGAGTGCATCCGTGGGTGGGGATGGGGAGGGCTGGGGCTGTGAGGGTGACCATGGAGAACCCACCTCTTGCCCTGATGGTTCATCTGGTGCATCCTCAGTCAGGCTGGTTCCTGTGGAAGATGATGGTCCCCTGGCATGGTGCATGGAGCAGGGGCTGGGGTGGTGAGGGAGGCAGACAGGAGCTCTTTCACACGTACATAAACACCTTAAAGCAACATCTGGTGAAACTGCTTAGGATGAAACAAACAGATTTTTATTTACAAGTTCTGTGGTTTGGTTTTTATAGCATTTTTTATGATGCACATATTTCCTGTTTCTAAACTTTAATTTGTAGAAGGAATTCCAAGGAGAAGATGGTGGTTGTTCAGCCTTCCCTTTGATAATCTCTTCCCAGAGGAATCTGCTGGGGTTTCTTTTCAGCTGGCAGTTGCCTCGTGCTGGCAACTGGAAAAACTGACGGTGGATTTTTATCCGTATTTGTATCTATAGTTTTAAGCTGAAAATGTTGATTGCTAATTATAATGTGGGCTGCTTACAAAGACAACATGTGCTCAGTGAAACGGCTCTATACCCAGTGCAGTACTGGCAAAGTCCTGCTCTCGAGGGTTATTTATGGGTGGCTGGTAACCACGAAGGTAAGTTTGCTCTTTTGGTTTGCAAAACAAGATCTCAAAGGCCACCTCAGCCTGTGGCTTCGTGGGGCAGAAGATCCGTGGTGGTGCTGGCCAGGTCCCCTTTGTGCTGGAGCCTGCACCTGGGGTGCTGCCATCCCCCTCCTCACCTGGGGGATCTCCTGGAGGAGCCTGTTGGGCCTTCCTGTGCTTTTTGCTGCTTCCCAGGTTTCAAACAGATCTTGTAGGTCACTGACACCACTAGTTACGCTTCACGTTGGGTCGCTGAGCTGGAAATGCAGCTTCCTTCAGTCTGGGGCTGCTGCTTCACGTCTCAGGGAGGTTTTTCCCCCAGCCACACGGGGCAGACCTGCCAGAGCCTGCCCGTGGGGCAGCTTCTGCACGGCTGGATGAGGAGGTGGCCGTGTGTGTGAATGATGCTGGAGAAGGTGCTCCAGGCTGGGAGTGCCCCGCAGGGAACAGCCTGCCTGTCCAGATGCCGATGTCCGATATTCTACAATTCTTTTTTTTTCAGTTGCCCCCACAATTCAGGAGCTTAAGGCCAGCGGTGTGGTGCTTGGAGGGAACGGCCTGGTACGGTGCGAAGGTGCAGGAGTTCCTGCCCCGGTCTTTGAGTGGTACAGAGGAGAGAGGAAGTAAGTATAGAATCATGGAATCGTTTTGGTTGGAAAAGACCCTTAAGATCATCCAGTCCAACCATTAATCCAACTCTGCCAAGTCTGGTGCTTAACCATGTCCCTCAAAGTAGCCGGTGCTTGCTGGGGATCAGTGGGAGAGGGACCTGGAAGCCCAGCAGCCCCCCGGGAATGGAAGCCAGGCTGCACTCCATGGCTCCTGGGAGGTGTGGGTGACCCACAGCCCCCAGTGTGGCTTTTGGGGGAGTTCCTCAGTTTCCTCGTGGTCACAGGTTCTATGCTGAAAGACGAGGTGTCATCAGGCTGGGCTGTGAGAGTGAGCATGCCAGTGATGAGCCTGAGGTTTAGTAATTACAGCCTTTAAAGTATAATAGCCAGAAAGGCTCTAGCAAACCTACTAAAGGGTTTTTTTTTTTCTCTCTCTTTCTTTTTTTTTTTTTT